CTTGAGCCCAGGTCTGAGACTGCAGTGAGCCATGATTGCACCACTGCACTCCAGTCTGGGCAACAGAGTGAGAACATATCTCCAAAAAAGGAAGAATGAAAGAACAAAAGAAAAGGAAGAAAGGAAGAAGGAAGGAAGGAAGGAAAGAAGGAAAGAAGGTAGGGGAAGAGTGTGAGTAAAAGCCAGGAAGCCTCCCATCACTTGAAAAAAAAATGGAGAAAAAGTTCAAATAGAAGCGTCATAAAAGACTATATATGGATATAGGAATGGCCAATAAGAACATGAAAAGATCTTCACATCTTGAGTCCCCAGAGAAATGCAAATTAAAACCACATGGAGATCAGTTTCACTACATACCTATTAGAACGCATATCTGTTAGAATGGCTAACTCTGAAGACTGACACCACCGAGAACCAGCAGGACATGGGGCAGCTGAAGCTCTTATATGCCGCTGCTGGGAACGTAAAATGGCACAACTATTCAAAGTTAAATTGAACATACACTTACCAGTATGCCCCAGTAATTCTAGATATTTAGAATTTCCCCAAAGACTTGTCCACTAATGTTTATTGCAGCTTTATTCATAATAGCCCCAAGTGGGAGACAATCTAAATGTCGATCAACAAGTGAATGGGTAAATAAGCTGTGGTAAAGCCATTCATGAGAGTACTACTCAATAATAAAAAGGAATGAACCATGACACACACAAGAACATGAATGACTCTCAAAACAATTATGCTGAGTTAAAAAAAAAAGCCAAACAAAGCACAATATACTCTGTGATTCCACTTATGTGAAATCCTAGAAAAGACAAAACTGATCTATAGTGGCAGAAAGTAGGAATGACTGGGAGGAGGAAATGGGGTATCTTGAGGGTGATGAAAATGTCATTTATCTTGGTGATAACTACGTGAATCATTATATTTGCCAAGATTCACTGGACTGTATGTATACTTTAACTGAGTGCATGGTATTATATTATAGGTAAATCATACTTCAATAAAGATGATTTTAAAGGCCAGGGGCAGTGGTTAACACCTGTAATCCCAAAATTTTGGGAGGCTGAAGCAGAAGAATCACTTGAGCCCAGGAGTTCAAGACTATAGCCTGGCAAGATGGTGAGACTCCATCTCTACAAAAACTTTTTAAAAATTAAAAATTAGCTGGGCCAAAAGAAGCTGTCATCAGAGTGAACAGGCAACCTACAGAAAGGGAGAAAATTTTTGCAATCTACCCAGCTGACAAAGGACTAATATCCAGAATCTACAAGGAACTTAAACAAATTTACAAGAACAAAACAAACAATCCCATCAAAAAGCGGGTGAAGGATATGAACAGACACTTCTCAAAAGACATTTATGTGGCCAACAAACATGAAAAAAAGCTCATCATCACTGTTTAATACAGAAATGTAAATCAAAACCACAATGAGATACCATCTCATGCCAGTTAGAATGGTGATCATTAAAAATACAGGGAACAATAGATGCTGGAGAAAATGTGGAGAAATAGGAATGCTTTTACACTGTTGGTGGGAGTGTAAATTAGTTCAACCATTGTGGAAGACAGTATAGCAATTCCTCAAGGATTTAGAACCAGAAATACCATTTGACCCAGCAATCCCATTACTGGGTATATACCCAAAGGATTATAAATCATTCTATTATAAAGACACATGCACATGTATGATTATTGCAGCACTATTCACAATAGCAAAGACTTAGAGCCAACCCAAATGCCCATCAGTGATAGACTGGATAAAGGAAATGTGGCACATATACACCACAGAATACTATGCAGCCGTAAGGAAGGATGAGTTAATGTCCTTTGCAGGGACACGGATGAACCTGGAAACCATCATTCTTAGCAAACTAACACAGGAACAGAAAACCAAACACCACATATTCTCACTCATAAGTGTGAGTTGAACAATGAGAACACATCAACACAGGGAGGGGAACATCACACACTGGGGCCTGTTGGGGGTTGAGGGGCTAAGGGACAGATAGCATTAGGAGAAATACCTAAGATAAATGATGGGTTGATGGGTGCAGCAAACCACCATGGCATGTGTATAACTATGTAACAAACCTGCACGTTCTGCACATGTACCCCAGAACTTAAAGTATAATAACAATAAAAAAAAGAAAATTTAAAAAAATTAGCTGGGCATGGTGATGCACACCTGTAGTTGCAGCTACTCAGGAGGGTGAGATGGGAGGATCACTTTAGCCTAAGAGTTTGAGGTTGCAATGAGCTATGCTCACACCACTGCACTCCAGCCTGGGTGACAGAGACCCTGTCTCAATAAAAAGAAAAAAAAAGATTTTTAAAAGAAAGAGAAAGTATGTGTAAGCAAGCTAAGGGTAGACAGAGTCAAGTAACCTAGACTAGATCACTCACTGAAAGCACTGGCCATGTGACAATTTGAAGTAGGAGTATTCAGAGCCCACTATGAATATTTCAGACTGTTCCTGAAACAGGAAAGTTGTGTATGCTTGCTGAAAAGAGAAAGTTCTGAAGAAGGGCAAAAAGCTGAGAAAGGAGGTGAAGGCCAAGGTGGAGATACAGACTGTCTGAGCCCTTGGCTACTGGCTCTTTCAGGGCACGCCACTAACTGTCCCCTTCCCTTTGGTCTTTTCTATTTAAGCTACTTTGGTTGCGTTTTCTGTCATTTGCCACCAGAATAGCTCTTGTATGACTAGAACGCTGAGCTTTGAAGAAAGCATATCCCAGTCTCCGGCCTGGTCCAGCAGCCAGGAGGGAGGGAAGGTGAGAGCGGAGGCCGAAATGGGCAGCTCTTGTCTCTGGTTTGTAAACACAGGGTGAATTGGGAAAATGAACTTTTGATCAGAGCCTGACATTGCCAGGACAAGAGACAGAGGAAGAACAGGCAGCACTGTTCCAGCAGAATTTGGAAACAATCCCGGACGGGCTGCACTCTGGGTTTCCTTGCGACTGCCATTGAGCCACATCTGTGCTCTACCTTCTAGCCTTCCCTAGCCCCAGCAGAGCTCTCTGTGTGGGCCCACGTGGCCGTGCTGAGCCAGGGAGGGGCCACCACAGTACTTCCCTTCCGTCCATCTTCTTGCTCTGCCCTTGCCGATGTTACCCCTCACTCCACATAAGACATCCTACCCCAGAAATTATTTACAGCAGCCTCAGACATGGCAGAACCAGGGCTGGACAGAACCAACAGTTGCTGAGCCAGGGAGCGCTCTTCACATGCATTAGTTGATTGACTTCCAATCACTGCCTTCCTCAAATGACCCAGCCAAGAGCCCTGGAGGAGCCCACCCTCGCAAAACAGGAAGGGACCCCCAGGATTTTTACCAGTGTAACTCACCTGTGCCTAGAGCTCTGCCTGCCACTAGACACAGTATCTCATTTTCACAGTACTTGTGTGTTTGTTGTGAAAAGGCAATTACTAGTGAATGAAACCAGCTCAGAGATGTCAAGGGACGGCTCAGAGTCACACAGCAGTGAGTGACAGGTGGATCTCATTCTACAGTGATTGCTTTTTCCCTATATCTCTCTACCTTTCTGTTGTATGGTAAAAGTACTAGAAGCACTATCCAGTTTGGGGCAAGAAAGACCCCTCTGGGTTAGATGTTAGGCACACCTGACACGTGTCCCACCTGCTCCTTCCCCACGCTTCATAATAACCCTTAAGCCCAGGGGGAAGAAATCCCTTCTCTCCTCTAACCCCATTTCCTTCAACTGTAAAGAGGATCAGTAACCTCTAGGCCAGGGGTCATGAACTTATTCTGTTACGAGCTAAAGAGTAAATAAGACACACAGTCTCTGTCACAACTACTCAACCCTGACCTTGAAGCCTGTGAAAGTTGATCATGCAGAATTGGGTCATTTTTGTCATAACCAACTAAAACAGAGTGAGAAGTCATGGGGAAAAAGCACTGGGGACACATAACATTGCTCCACATGTGAAATTCTCAGCAAGCCTGGCTGCTGAAACTGCCTATTGTAACCTAAGACCAGTTTTAGTTAGCAGCTACTGAAACCTCATTTTACCTGTTACAGTCCCTCAACAATCAGGACTTGCCAGTTCCCCAAAACTTTACTTGTGCCAATGAACTTTCTAGAAGAACATTTCTCCTTTTCTATGGAACCTCCAATCTTCTCTTTGTTCTTTGGACAAATGGAGGACCATCCAGTCTGTGTATATGCCCGGAATTTCAATTCTTATTCCCAAATAAAGTGTTTTAAACTTAGAGATATTTGACTTGGACAAGCCTGAAAGCTGCCATAGATGATATTTAACTGAGTGAGCATGACTGCATTCTAATAAAATTTTATTTATGGACACTGAAATTTGAATTTTATGTAATTTTCATGTCACATAATATTGCCGTTTTTTTTAATTTCCCCTTCAACTTTTTTGACAGAGTCTCATTCTGTTGCCTAGGCTGGAGTGCAGTGGTGTGATCTCAGCTCACTGTAACCTCCACCTCCCTGGTTCAAGCCATTCTCATGCCTCAGCCTCCCGAGTAGCTGGGATTAGAGTCACACGCCACCACACCCGGCTAATTTTTGTATTTTCAGTAGAGACGAGGTTTCACCACGTTGGCCAGGCTGGTCTGGAACTCCTGACCTGAGATGATACACCACCTCAGCCTCCCAAAGTGTTGGGATTACAGGCCTGAGCCACCGCGCCCGGCCTGTCCCCTTCAACCATTTAAAGATGTGAAAAGCGTTCTTGGCTCATCCAGCTGTATACGACACCAAGCCACCGACAGGATTTGGCCAGCTAGTCACAGCCTACAACCCTCTCCCTAGTCAATGGAGTTTCTGCAAGGACCAAAGTGTCAGGTGCGCCCTCGTGGAGAAAGCACTTTTAGGGGCTCATCGCAGCCCTGGAGGCCCGCTTGTCCGGTCGTTGTGCAGGGTCCGGCTGTGACCGACCCGATGCTGGCACCCAGTGCCTCCCCGGTGCACCCTGCAGGGCCGGCGCCCACCTCCGCTCCCGGCGCCCACTCACCCAGGGCTCCAGCGCACGGCAGGGCGCAGAGGGCCAGCCTCATTCTCCGCGGCCGGCGCGCGTCACCAACCCCGCTCTCCCGCCTCGTCCGGCTTTACCCCGTTGGAGCAAGCAGCGCCTCCTGGGAAAGGTTCGCCCGCCAGAGCTGATAGCCCTCGCCACTCCTCCCACTCCTCCCCCGGGGCAGCCAGCGAGCAGCCCGTGCCCTCCGCGGGACCGAAGGGCTGCAAGATGTCAGCCCCTCTCCAGTCCCCTGTCCAGCGCCTGCCCACCTCGGGCGAGGGGGCCGCACCGCAGAGCCTGAGCAGCTTCGGAGCGCGCTGGTCTTTACACTTTACAACCCAGAGACAGATCCGCCGGGGGTGCCAGGTGAGTTGCCAGTACACAGGTTTCCGACCCCCGGACCCTCATCTAGCCCAGCAGTTCCTCAACATCTCAAAAACACAAAATCCTCGGGATTCCGGGGCAGTCCATAGGGTGGAAACTGTGGGCCCTTCCCCTTGGAAAGCACGCGCACACATATACACAACGTTTTGAACATAATTGTCAGGGATTCTCAGACTCTTTCTCCCAAAGGGTTTCCATCGGGAGAATGGACCACTCCTGTGTCCTCTCGGAAACTCCACCAAAATGACACTGTCCTCAGCAGCCCTTTGCTCTGGAAGGCCGAGGTCAGGTGAAGCCCCAGAGAGGGCTGCCTCTCCTCACCCCTGCAGCCCCATCCTGCTCAGGTCTGTGACTTCTGCCTGGAGAAAATCTGAATTTAAATGAAATTTTAAGAACTTTTAAAGTATAATAAATGTACATAAAATATCACATGTGCTAAATAAATGTGCAGCTTAATTATCATTAAATGAACACACCCACATAACCAGCACCCCCATCAAGAAACAGAACATTAACAGAGCTGGCACAGCCCAGGGCGGCCTCTTTCACTTACTTCCCATTCTCCCTCCCATAAAAGTACCCATTATCTTGACTTCTAACACATAGACTAATTCTGCTGATTTGTGAGATTTATACAGATGGAATCATACTGTGCGTACAATTCTGTTTGGCTTCTTTTGCTGGAGAGGCTGTGTGTGAGATTCACCTATGCTGTGTATAGCTGCCCTTTACTCATTCCTGGTGTTGCGTATTCTACACTGTATGCAGGACATTTTGTCTTTGCTCCTGATGGCTGTAGTCTTCAGTTTGGGCTCTTATGGATACTGCTGCTGTGAATATAATTATAATTTCATTTTCTATCTGTTGTTGGTATCTGGGGAAAAAAATTGTTTTTTGTATATTGACCTTGAATCCAATGATCTTGCTGAATTGTCTTCTTAGTTGGAATTGCTTCTTTTCTATTTACATCCTTATGTCTTATATGAATAATGTCGGTTTTGCTTTTTCCTTTCAGATCCTTAGGAGTCTTTTTTCTTTTGACTTACTGCACTGGCTAGAACTTACATTACATTTTACTACATGTCTTTTAGTGCACTTAGGTATGCATTACTGCAGGGTTTCCCCATATATCATGAAGCAGATATATATTCAGCTTCAACAGATACTGCCAAACTGTTAATACAATATTGAGTAGAAGTGGTGATAGGGAAAGTTTTCAATTCTTCTCCGTTATGCAAACATTTTGCTGGTGTTTTGTTTTGTTTTAAATATTATTAACCATATCAAGGATCTTTCCTTCCTTCCTGGGTTGCCTAATTTTTTTTTTAAATCATGAATGGATGTTGCATTTTGTCAAGTATTTTTTCTACACCTAAGGTAATCATATGATTCCCTTTTCTTTTTATGCTAATGTGAACTTCTCTAATTCTCTTTCTTTCTTTCCTTTTTCTGTTTTCCTCCCTCCTTCCCTCCTTCCCTTCCTCCCTCCCTTTCTGCTTCCCTCCCTCCCTCCCTGCCTCTTTTTCTCTCTCTTTCTCTCTCTCTTTCTTTCTTTTTCTCTTTCTTCTTGCTTAATAGGGTCTTGCTCTATTGCCCAGGCTGGAGTACAGTTGTGGGATCGTAGTTCACTGAAGGCTCCACCTCCTAAGCTCAAGCGATCCTCCCTCCTCAGCCTCCCAAGTGCCTAGAACTGCAGGTGTGCACCATCACGCTGGGCTCCGTTAATTGATTTTAAAAGGTTAAACTACTCTTACATTCCTGGAATAAATCCCGCCTGGCTATTATGTATAACATTTTTTACATATTGCTGATCTTGATTACTTTTTTTAGAATTTTTTGCATTTGTGTTGATAAGAGAAATCATTCTGCAGTTTTCTTAATGTCCATAAAAGTTTGGTTTCAAGGTTATAACGGCTCATAAAATGAACTGAAATATGCTACTTCTTTTCTTATTCTCTGGAAGATACTGTGTAAGAATAGCGTTCTTTCTTTCTTAAATGTTTGGAAGCCTTCACCAGTTAAGCCATCTGTGTTTAGAATTTTACTTGTGGAAAAGTTTTTGATAACAGATTGAGCTAGAGAAATATCCAGATTCTATGATTCTTCAAGCTTCAATGTTGGTGAGTTTTGTTTTTTTAAGAAATGTGTCCATTTTATCAAAATTTCAAATTTATTGATATAAAACCATTCACAACCTTATCCTTCGACATTTTTAGTATGTGGAGGATCTCTCTTTTCATTGTTGATATTGGTGATTTATGTTTACTATGTTACTACTTTTCCTTGATTAGTATTGCCAGGATTTTACCTATATCATTAATCTTCTCAGAGAATCAACCTTGGCTTTGCTGATTTTCTCTATTGGACATTCATTTATCATTTCATTGATTTCTGCTCTGTTGACTCCCTCTCTCTCTCTCTCTCTCTCTCCCATTCTCTCTCTCTCTCTTTCTCTCTTTCTTTCTTTTTCAGACTCACTCTATTGCCCAGATTGCAGCCCTCTGCAACCTCTGCCTCCCGGGTTCAAAATATTCTCCTGCCTCAGCCTCCTGAGTCACTGGGATTACAAGCATGAGCCATAGCACCCAGCTAATTGTTTTTTGTTTATTTGTTTTAGGTGAGATGGGATTTTACCGTGTTGTCCAGGCTGGTCTTGAACACCTGGCCTCAAGTGATCTGCCCACTTTGGCTTCCCAAAGTGTTGGGATTACAGATATGAGCCACCGTGTCTGGCTTCTCTTGCTTTTTTTTTTTGGCAGGGGACGGAGTTTCGCTCTTGTTACCCAGGCTGGAGTGCAATGGCACGATCTCAGCTCACCGCAACCTCCGCCTCCTGGGTTCAGGCAATTCTCCTGCCTCAGCCTCCTGAGTAGCTGGGATTACAGGCACG